TTCTCAGCCAGAGTTTGCCACTACTGTTAATTGCTGCTTAAAATCCATGGGCAAACTATGAGTTGACAGCAAGACACTTATTACTGCAAAAACAAAAACACTTACCCTTGATGCTGATATCCATGCCAGGAAGCGCTAGTATCTGAAACACTTGCACCTCATGCAAGCTCTGTGGAGGAGGGTCTCTCCTTCATCCAAGACACGCACACGGACAAAAACCCCCATAAGAAGGAAGAGGTGAAAAAAAAGGAAGGAAGAATCCAAAATTAGGGTGTGTCTGATGTCTAGCCCCCCTTATGGTGTAAACGCAGATAAAATACCAAAGAATTGTCCCATAACACCAAAAAATAAAATGACCTAAAAAGTGCAAGCCACCAATGAGTTTGCGATTTAAGAGATCAGTAAGTATGGGTGGAGAAAATAAGGGAAGAAAATAAGGGGAGAAAATTTGAAATTAATTAATTATTATTGTGGCCTTGACTTATTGTCACTGACCTAAGGAAAGTGATGGTGAGAAAGTAGCACTGCTTAATGGGACAATATTGTTACTAGGGAAAAGTTATGGTAGACAGCCCAAGCACAAAGACCTGAAAAAGGATTCTTCACAGATCCAGAGTTCAAAAGCTCCACTGGACAGTGCCAGCTGCACCACGTGATGTTAAATCAGCAATCTAACAACAGACACTTAAAATACACCTCAAAGATACTTCTAACGCTATAACATGTTTACCAAATTCTTGCACATGTTTGGTTACAATATTGAATCAGTAATATATAACTAAGCCTCAGCCCCCTCTCTTCATGTATGGCTGAACTTCAGAGGAACATTAAAGGCCAAACATGAGCAGCTCTGTGCTGGACCAGTATAATACAGGACGGCAAAGCATTTAACAAATGCTTTACTAGTTCTCCCCAAGACACCACGCCTGTACAGGGGCTCCACTTCAGCCCAACAGAGCAAACACTGGGGCAAAATGAAAAGGTGAAGGAGGAGGTGAGGTAGGGTGATGGGGAGACAAGAAGGAAAAGGCGGTGGAGAGGATAATTAACATGTTTCCTGCATTTCAAAGCAGATAGTGGAAATTCTTTTTTTTTTTTAAAGCTGGGCCTTTTCCCTCCCAATAATTCCTTTCTTCTGGGAGAAGAAAGGATGCAGAAGATGCATTAAATGCCACCCCTCTGTGGTTGAGAGGTATAACACTTAAAATATGGAAATGCAGGAAAGGGTTTATCAAAAGGAAATAATTTGTTTACGATTGAAGATCACTGCAAACCTAACAAATTGTAGAGTAATGTGTGTTTAATGTTAGTTCATCTAAGTTATAAAATACTTATTCCAAGTATTGTAATATAGTAAAGAGCACTAATATTTATGTTGAGATATAAGGCATATAAAAGGTGTACTATCTCCAAATTATCTAACTAAATATAACCGCATCACAACACTGTCATATCCTGTAGTTTAAAGTAAAGAACAAAATAATTCAGAAAAGTTTCCATTCTTAAACAGTCAATACAATCTAAAATCTGTGGTGTGATAATAAACTTAAATTAAGAATCAGCTGAGATATGGTGCACTTTGTAAAGTTTTTAATTTGGATCAATACTGGTCCAAATTTCAGAACCAAACATTATAAAAACAACTATAACCCATCCAATCCAATAACTTAGCCCAAATGCCCAACTTAATTTTGAGAGACATGCCACTCTTGCCTCAGCGACTGCTGCATACATGCTGGAGGAAAAGAAAAAAGTATCGGATAGGCATCGGAAGATACTAAGTTGCAGTATTGGTACTAAACGTGAAAAAGTCGTATTGAGCGATCCCTAGTTTATACACCTGTCAGCATTTATACTTCAGAGGTAAATTATGGAAGGATTGAAGGTTTAAGGAAAAAACGTTATGTATCAAAGGCCAAGGGTGAGAACTGCTGCCTAATGTGCTTGACCCTCAAGACCGCTGAGAGATATTGCTGTCAACAGACTGTAGCTTTTTGCTAAGTTTAGAAATTATTATTCAGCACAACTGCATCATGCAAACAGAAAGGCTGAAAAGTCTTATGGAAGTGAAGTTTTTATAATTGACTCAAAAAAGCTACAACAAATCTAAACACTTGATGCATGCCTTGTAATCCATTGTTGAAAATTCATAATTCATTTAAATACAGTGTGTTGAAGTTAGCAGTTGCAATAACCAAAAGCAGACGCCTGTACTTGTACAGTGTAACCAACAACAAGGCCAATCAATAAAGGCGAGCAACATTTTCAATTGAGAAAACATTTACACCCAAACAGAGGGTGGCGCACAAACCCAAACTACAGTCTCTAATGAGTAAGTTGTAGTGTGTGCCACAGCAGTGTTATACATGCGCTGCTCTGCTATTACTGGGCTCTAAAATGCTGTGATTTAACAACCATTCCACTGCACCCCATGTGTACACATCCTCACAAATGACAGGACCAATCCACGCACTGTTAAATCACTTTAATGGCTCCAATTTGGACACAACGCCTCTATTATAGAGGTAATTGCATGCTCAGCATTTACAAGCACGGAAAGGATAAATCCGCCTGTCCTTTTCTATAAATCCACCGTTTCACACTTTAATAGAAACGTGAAATGTATGTGTTGCTCTTTATATCTTTTAATCTGCTTACTAAAGTGTTGCTCGGCTTGCCAATCCCTGGACCAAAAAAAGCTATAACAATGCTATTTGTCTGGAATGTGTTAGAAGGTACTTAGAGGGTATATTTAAAACTTGAAGACTACTGTTGTTCATGGCTCACAGAGCAATGGCTCAGTGTAAATTCCCCCAGTTCAGGATTACTGCAGCTTTCACTGTACTTCCAAAGAATTAAATGGGCTTCTACAGCAGTGGGTGACCATCACTGAGAGATTTCACTGTTGGAAGATTTTTATGCAAGATATTCCCTGCTAAATACTCAAGTAAAACAAAAAGGCTGAAACAGAGGTCTCTGATGGTTTACATTTTGGCAGCAGGAAGTAATGAGATACAAATTCACATTTATCTTTAATCAAATTGAGTGCAAGTTGTAGAGAAACAGCAATTGTTTGAATCAAAAGTCCACAACAGTGACTACAACTAATTAGATCAGCAACCTGTCTTTGTCTTTGTCCATGACTTCTGAGTGAATTGGCTTCAGTCCATCCACAACTAGTATATAAATATAGTTGCTACTTTTAATGTTGTAATGTTGTAATACTATAGTATTTAATCACCTTCTTTTTTACCATGTCTGGCACGTCAGCTTACAAGCTGAAGCTAAAAAGTCATTGGAGAAGTTCTTGCTAATGATAAGCCCAATCCAACACTTTCATCAACTAGCCCATGTCCGGCCAAACCAAGCTCTTCATTTTAAAGACGTAGAGAGAACTTGTTGTTTGTGGGAAATGTTTCAAAATGACATGTAACAAAAATCAAATTTAGATTATGTTTAGTTTAAATAACTATGATTATTACTATATTCTTTGTAAATGCAGTCAATTGAAGGAAATCAGAATCGGCAAAAATCGTTATTGTCAAGTCACACTTGCTAAAAATTGGAAACTGGAATCGTCATCTCAAGTTGTACTGAGTATGATTTAGTGACCTACTGCTGTTTTTTTTGTATATGCCATATTGAACCTTAATATCTCGACACCAAACCTGAAGGAACAAAAGAACAATGCCAATGACTGTTATTTTAATTTTCTCTCAGTACACTTCACAGAAGAAAAGGCAGCAGGTTTTGAACATTTTCCAGTTCTTGCTGGGGAAAAGTTGATTTATGCAGGTTAGGTTTACAAGAACAATCGACCTGGGCTTTGATGAATTCTGCAGCATGAACCATGACTTTA